TAGAAATGCCTACAAAGATTGCAGTTAACGTACTTGTTAATCAGGTGAGGTGAAATACGGAGAAGATGCTAGGAGAAATATAACTTCTATAATGCTGAGATATTTGCAAAACTCCGGATCGCGGGCGTATGCGGTGGTAAACTAACGCGCTATTGTCCTTTCCGGGGAGTAACGCGTTCACCACCACACCATGCGGGTCCTCCGTTTCGCCTGTCTTTCAGCTAGAAGTTATATTTCGCAATATACCTTGCCATTAGAAAGAGCAGGTAGTAAATAATAAGCTAAAATTGTGATTATAACTGCAGCCTCAGCTTAGCTGGATTCGTTGTCGATCTAGGCTCCCCAGATGAATCCTGCTGACGGGTGATTGCTGATGACAGAAAATCGATTGAACTAGCTGAGAGACAGGCGAAACGAAGGGCTCGCATGGTGCGGTGGTTAGCGCGTTACTCCCACGGAAACGACAACGTTCGTTCCCCACCGCAGACACCTGCTGTCCAGAGTTTTGCAAATATATCAGCATCATTATGGTTGTTTTCCACATATGGTAGGCAGGAAATAAAAGTTGACGTTGAAAGAAGAGTTTGGGAGGAAAAGTTAGAGGGACGGATATCGATTGTAAGTGGCCAAGTTTTCGTTGGACAGAAAATATATAGCCACTTGATTAAGCTCAGAATTTCGATCAATCGTAAGTGAAATATTCAAAATGAGTGGAGTTCGGAATTTTTTCTACCGTACCTCGTCTCGCTTTTGTTTGTGCACGCAGTCGCACCGATCGAGTTGGTCAAACGTCTGGTCGTGTGCGCACTCAGTCGGCTCGCATTCACATCGACAATTGTCCTCATTCCATTTTCGATTGCCTTGAAATCACTCTACGTTTTCATTGCGACGTAAAGGACTAAGAAGTTTTCTTTCTTCAGGCATGCTGGTAGTAAAACGAATTCAGTTAAACTCGACATTGATCACTAAGTCAGTGTCCTTTACGAGTTTTTATGGAGTTTAGGGTCCTTAACGAGTTAACGAGTTGTTATGGAGTAATTAATATGGCGTCTATTTCAGAATGGCTATGAGTTCATCTAATCCGAATTCTGTGTCGGTGACTAGATTTCCTAAAAATATGCAGGACGCAAAAGAGGGGTGGGAGAACACGGAATCCATCGGGATTTTAGCCATTTTGAAATAAATATTAAATTAACAACGTCGTATCGCTTCATCAATATTACTGTAACTTAACAAAATGTGAAGAATTAGTGTTTCAACAGGGCACGTTGTTATTGTGATTTCTTATAGAGTGGAGATTTTCTTGTATGTAAAATCTAATGCAGAAATCAATCAAATGTGATGAAACCATTTTTCAAACTCTTTTTAGAGAGATTCCTCCTAACGGTTTACCGCCTCATCGTGGCTGGGAGATGTTCCTGGGTGTCAGACTGCGATGTACGGCAGGGGATTTATCCCCTGGCAGAGTTTCCTAAGCTGAAGAGTCCGGCGTTTCCATCAGGAAGCCTAGCTAAGAGTAAACCAATACCAGGATCCACCACTCTCCTCGTATCAAAGTCGCATGGTGGCAAATCTCCCTCTGATCCACAAGGGCTGCAACTGCCTGTTGTGGTGAAGACTTGGGACAGACCTTGGCCAGGCTGACCTCGGGATTCCAGAGAACCACAATGGCTTATCTAGCAAATCTCCGAAAAGTGGTGATTATGCTGGGGTCCGCACAACCAGTGAGGAATGGCCATTCAAGTATCAAGTAAGTATCTTAGAGAGATTGATTTCTGGATGTTTAGAATTGAATTTGTGGCTTAAAGAGGGTTAGTGCTCTCACGAATCAAGGACGCCTAGGTTATGGAATAAGCAAACTCTAACGGCAAACAATGTTGTTTGTATAGTAAGAGAAATTTCCCAGCAATTGTGAATGCTTTCATAACCTTAACCGCCGATGACAACTCTACCTGAGGAAGAGAAATGCACGGACGGTGCTACCCCACTGAAAGTTTCCATAAAAGGATATTCCATTGCTCTAAACATCTTCTCATCCATTCCGATGTTATGAAATTTTGCGTGATAACGTAGTAACCAAGTAAAATTTTCTCTCTATAGTCGTCATTGGGCAAAGTGACTGGTGACTAAGACGTTTCAAGACTGAACTGAAGATTCTAGTTTCAGAAGATATGCGAATTAAAGGGTTCCGTTCTGATCTCATTGGCCATAGGACAATATGAAGAAGCGCTTCACAGATGGTAAAGTTAGATGCTAACGATTTCAATTCCAGCTTTATTTACTTAACTATTGAAAAACCGCCTAAAACATCGTCAAAACTGACTGTTTAGTTTCCAGTATGGAGAAGTAGAATGGCGTCATTTTCAGATGACGTTCTTAGCAAATTGTGGAGAGAAGCTCATATAAAATCCACCTTTCCTGGACAAGTTGAAGTTCAATGACGTTATTGAATGCCTCAGTCAGCAGCAGACACCAGAACAGTTTTGTAGAATGAATGGCTTAATTTGCTTGGAACGTATGAGAAGTGATATATAGGTAATTCAGGTGTGGTGATTTAAATTACTGATCGATGTTGTGTCGATGAAAACAGCGACGCAGAATTGCAATCTTGGATTGGAAAAGAAACAACTCTCGAAGGCTCGACGAGAAGAAACAAGGAGACGTATTAGTCAAAGCCGCAGTTTAGTGGAAGAGTTTTCTCGCTGTAGGACGAAAAGGTGGAATTTGTTACCAATTACTGACCTACGCCCGGTTACTGCGTTTTACTGCAAAGCACGTCGCTTAGCTCAGTATAAATTCTATCGAATCATGAGGCAGACCAGCTAGTACTTCAGCTGACATAATCTGTGCTTTAACTACAGCAGTACTCTACAACTGTCTTATCGAATTGCTACCACAAGATCGCAAAAATTGTACTGCTGTTTTGGTACAGTGGTACCTCCACATATGCGCATTACGCATGCTTTTACTTACCTAAGCTTCAGCTGTACGCGGTACCTATTACGAAAAGGGGAGAATCCGTCCAAAAAAAGCCTTTCTGTGAATGATTAACTGTACAGAGCAGTTTTTCGAGGGCAGTTTATGGTACAACATCCCTGTTCTATAAATTGCGATCGAATGTAAAAATATAGCAAATAAACTCTTTGCAGAAAAACTAGCAGAAGCAAGGAATATACACTAGAAACAATGCATGTGGTTCCCCCAGTCTACACCCATGCATTGGTACAAATGCACACCGTCTCCTGAGTGTAGAGAAGAAATTCGCTTTGTGGAAATATTTTGTCCAAGCTGTATAATCGATCTCCATTTAGAAACTTAGATACGTAACGATATGAAGAAGTTTCTTGCAGGAACATTATACGCAAATATACGCTAATGAGAACACGGCAAACCTGAGATCGTTGGAAAAATTCCGTCTCTCAGGGTCATCTACCGCTCGGCTATTGTATTTGTGACTTAAACAATATCATCGAGCAAGATACGTTATTATGAGGATGATCCAAGTGTGAGAAGTTATCCATTTATGTGAAAGAAACTATTGTCTCCTATTCACACATTGTTGCAACACATATTTCTACTATGAAGTTGAGTCGACAACTATGATTTAAGTGAAACTCCTTTTCATCCTCAACAGACTATGGACTATGACCAAAGGCTAAACAATCAGCGTTCAGCGTCGTCGTATTCGTCCCCATCAAAAGTGCCAGCGTTGCCCTTTCAGATGTCACGTTATTGCTGACTGGTCATGAAAATGAAGAAGAACAGTGAAGAAAAATGAAGACGAAAGCGCCTCTTGTTATTAGAGGATCACCATTATACAAAACAAGTCGTATTCTGTACTACAGAATACCACGACTACTAAGTCACTCACAAAAATATTAACTGCTTCGTGCATTCATTGCATCATAGGGTATTTGGAACTGGGACTTCGAATCGTAATAGAACATCGCCATCACCAAATCAAGGTCAGAAGCATCGCAAGGATAGTGGCGATTAAAATGTTATTGGCTTACGGTGTTTTATGGTGGTGTTCTCCTTTGAGAGATCATGCAAGTGACCACACCAGGCTATTATATCCTCTGTTAAAAGCGTTGTAAACAAATGTAAAGCTTAGTCCAGCACGGTATGAACCACTTGCTCGGCAGAACAAGAATTCATATTTGTTGAAGATTCTGAGGAACCATTGTAGAAACAGTCAGTTGTGGACCAGTCAAATGGACTCAAATGAATTAGTACATTCTGTCAAATGTTTATTTGTTAGTTTATGTTAGTTTGTCACATAAATGCATATTAGTGGCACAAGAAAATCGACATGGAGCACATATTCCAAAGCTCTGCTAAAAGTGGGTTTCCTGCTCTCTCTGTCTTTTGTGTAATGGAGTTAAACAGCAGTTTGAGAAAGCGGAATTGGTTGAAAGTGGTGCTTTCCAGTAATGAGCGCTCCTTTCGGTTAAGCATCTCTCCATCATTCCGCGCTGCTACTAGTCGAAAGCTAAGAGGATGGCTTTTCCTTCTTCTCTCATTTTTCCTTCGAGAGGCAATTTAAAGTAAGAATTAAGAATGTTATATTTAGAACATCAGCCCACATAGAATCTGTTGAGGGTGGAAGATTTTAAATAACAGGTAATAAGACTGATAGATGAAATAGAATGATTTAATTAACTTTAGGAAAGTTGTACTCAAAACATTTGCATCGAAATAGTCGTAGAAGCCCAGAGATAATTAATTTATCAAAATGACTTGTGAATGTAGTAACATTTTGTAACGAAGATGTGAGTTGAGGCATCTTCTTCAAGCTTTCCTGCTGAACAGTATCGTGTGTGATCTACACAGCATTAGGGTGATACTGTAGTTTTGGTTGTTCTTCATGCATACTGTAGCTCATCAGGCAGACTTTTTTAGCTGGCGAAAATTCAGCAAAAACAGCACAGAAACATTGGACCACATATACACGCATGCGGATGTCTATCAATCCATATCACCGGTTATCACTTTATCAGTTAGGGACGTTGGTTGTGTGACGATAATTTACGACGATTATCATCGGAATGCAGATCATCATGCGTTGACGTTCCTATGCGAATTATTGGAGTTTGACAAAAACCTTGACAATTATGACGGTCGTTCTTGTTCGCGCATTGACATCGACAGTCGGCGCCAATCACAAAACCAGGCGGACATTCGGGAACCTGCAACTGCTGTGAATATAAATGCCATTGGTTAAGATTCTATCATATGTGTCAATAGATCTGCAGTAATACAGAGATGCCGTGATTTCAGTGAGCGCAGTTCCTTCTGCGAAATGTAATACCTTTGAACCGAGCAATGTCATCAGATCCGAATACCGTTGTGAGGTCAACTATCGCTGAAGTTTTCCTATCCACCATTTCTTTATAGAAATTATTTATGTGTACCACCATGATACAAATGCAGAATGCGTTAGGATTCGCAGATATCCCAGTGCAAAACATGGTTATCGACACGTCGCCCCACCAATCAATATCCACACCCTAGACAGTATTCAACGCTCGGTGTCGTCCACGTCGCAAACTTTTGAATATCATCCAGTAATGAAATGCGATTGCACTAGACCCATTATTTCAATCTCACCTTAGATTGATTAAAAGGATTTAGAACTGAAACATAAACGAAGTTACGACAAACACAACTATAATCCAGGAAGAAAGAAAAACAATGGTCACCATAACACCTAAGCCGTACATCAGGTCCACAATCGTAACACGAGCATGACGTGTGCTCCTCCATGGAGATGTTGAGAGTCTGATTGAGCATGAAACGACCGTTACCAATGTAGAGCATCTCAATCACCTAGAATCGGCAGATGAACACATTCGCTCTGTAGAACACTTTTCAACTAAAATTGAGAAGTCGAAAATCATTTTCAATTGAATTCGAGCACAGATAGGAAGACCATAGATGATATGTTAAGCAAAATCGTAGTTCTTAGAAAACACAGACGCGCCTGGAAATATATAAGATCTATACACGATCTGTACCATAATATACCATGTGACGTATAAAGGATAAAAGGATAAAGCTCTCGGCGTTGATCAATCAATCCTTGAGGGATACGCCATCTATTCGACTTTATTAAGCATCGTTTGGAGGGTGAGAGTAAGTGTTAAAGACTTCTTTCAAAAGTTCAACGCAATAAATCATTTCAGTGAAAGCACACTTTGCTAATACCCAGTATAAAGGATAAAAAGGATAAAGCTCTCGTAGTTGATCCATAACTGAAGGATGCTCCATGCATTCAATTTCATTAAGTATTGTTAGAGGTGATTGAATGCATATCTGGCCTTTAGGTAACTCACGGTGGCTTACCGATGTATCGAGCCAGTGTTGCTACCCTCCCAGACAAGTCTGGTACCAATTCGCCGACCCCGGAGGGATGGAAATCTTGGTGGCCCATGGGCGCGCAGATTTGTTTCGCGTGTGTTGCAGAGGGCCTCGACCACTGCTCTACACGCGCCCTTGATGTGATGTATGTAGTAAAAAAACAAAATGTATACCGATCCGGACAAAGAACAAATAGAAATGTGATCAGATGTCGTCATTCAAGTTTCAAAGTGCAGGTATCTTTTCATTGATAACCTAACACAAGGTTGTCAAAAAACTTTTTATTTGGCTGGATGAAGTTAACAGCTGAATAACAATAATAAATAATAATAATAACAATAATAATAACTCAGCCAACTAAAGTTTTTATCAATCTCGTATTAGCTTATCAGTGAAAAGATACATATTGATCAGTAATCCCGAAGTTAAAGGAAAACCAGTTTTTGAAATCTCAAATCTGAATTCTGAGATGGGACCTAATTATGTTAACGGTATACTCGGCTGTTCCCCTACTAATTGTGGAATGGCCCAAGCGGGCATGAGTAAACTCTCCATTCGTCTCTAACGTGTGCAACAACAGGCAAATGAGTCCTCCACCATCCTAGGATTGCAACAACATTATGTCTTTCACGCTGACGGGTGATTGCTGATGACAAAAAGATCGATAAAACTAGCTGAAAGACAGGCAGAACGAAGGACCCGGATGGTGTGGTGGTGAAGTGCGCTACTCCTCGGTAAGGACAACATCGCGTGTTCGTTCCCCACCGCATGCACCTGCGGTCCGGAGATATTTGCAAATATCTCAGCGTTATATACGAGTTATATTTCGCAACATACCCTGCCATTAAAAAGAAAAACTCAGTAAATAAAAGGGTTAAGATTATGTCCTTGTTCTACTATTTTCGAGGAAGAATTCTAGCCATTGAGACCGTGGTCTTTCTGCTGTTTGCTTGACATCCTGTGGAATTCAGCCACTATCGGATCTGATCCTTCGATTTTTGTTTAGACGCATCACTTGCCAGGCCCATCTGGTTTTTGACATTTTTCATATATAGAACAGCCTTTGTTCTTTCACCAATAACGTAGCATAGGAAATTCGAATTCTCTTGTTCATTTGCGTGATCGAATAGAATGGCCCTCTCCAATGCACGTTCAATAACGCCGAGTAACCTTTCATCCTGTCTAGGTTTCTGATATATACATTGAGGCAGGAAGAATCGTAGTATCAAAAAAGTGTGCAAGAGTCTGGTGTTTTCTACACTCTTTCCTATTTACCTCTAGAATGTTCATTAGAACGAAAACTGTAGTGCACAAAAACTGTGGTGCACAAGGATAAAACCTTCCGGGATAGTTGTTCCATTGAGGGCGAATGGGGCGTCAAAAACGAAACCATTTCTTCCAATATCGTTTTCTTGAACTTCACCAAAGGCCACTTTTTAACAACAGCTGTCGAAATCAGCTAATATTTGCTCTTCCTGCTGGTGTCTGAAGCATACTGACATCAGTGAAGTGAAGGCGGTGTATTTACCATTCACTCACTCGGTTGTAGGACTTGTGGTTATTTACAGTTTTGTGAAAGTAGTGCCACCGTGTTGAATTCCGATGAAAATTCCGTTGTGCAATGATGAAACGCTAGAAGTTATGCTTTAATACAACATCAATGATCTCTGTATGCTGAGAAAGGATGACCCACCGTATCTAACCGCTTTCAAAATCCCGCTTGTTTGCATGGGTCTCTGTCGCCCAGTGTCTTGCGGAAACTTGTAAACAACAGCGTAGGTCTTCCTTCTTGTGCAACAGCACGACAATGCTGGCTTCCTACTGATTTGAAACCTTGTGTTCTGATAGGTAGTGTATGGAAAGGCTAGTCCGTCTAGTGGTGAATGGTAGTAGATTTTCAAGATGTTCAAGGTTATTTTTCGACCGGGTACTCTTGGGTTCTTCACCACTGCGCGACGGATTTCAGAAGGGAGAATCATTGGGAAGGACGTATCTGGTTACCGAGACACGACACATGGATGCAGCTGGACATGGTCACACATAGAGACTGAGAATACTATACGGATGTGGGATTTCAAAAACACTTGAGAATATGGAGTCTCTAACGATTTTTAGCTCAATTTTCACATAAAGCTTATCTTACCACAATGAGTATTGCAAATCAATGAAAGTGATATCATCATATGCTTCCTTTCACTCTACAAAGCTAAGCTATGAGCAAGTTCCTTTTTTTTCTTGGTTTCTTCTTCGCATTTACACAACGAAAAATGCACCCCATCTCAACAGTTGTCAAATTTTGGAGCGATCACAAATAAGCCAACGCTTAGTTATGGTGTCCTTGGATTAAGTGTTTTACGCTTTAAACCTGGAAACCCATCAATGCTAGTACCTACTTACTTAAATACTGGGCCTTAGTGGTGCGCGCCACAACCTAGTTTCCATTCGTTTCTCTTTTGCGCAATCATCGTTCATAGTGGTGGTTTGATTCGAACATGGTGACGTCCACGAGGGTAATTCGTGTTACCAAAATTGTTCCCATATGCGAGTGCAGAATGGCTGACGTTAGCCATGAACACGTCCACCCATCATTTCGTTGCTCCTCTAAGGCGACGCATGCATTCTCTCGGAGTCCACTCCACTGTTCTTTTCGTCCATCTGTCATTTGTTCTTCCTATTACGTGACCGGCCTATCTGTGTTTTGCTACTGATGTATGTTCTCCTGGATTCCGAAGATGGGATAAGTCTGGAGCATCTGAGTTGCGCATTCTGATTAAACGTTGTGAGTGCCGACTAAGCTTCAGGGGAGATACTACGTCTCTGTGCGGATTTTTGTGTCGCTAAGTTGGACGGTAGCTTATTTGAGTGCTACGAATGCGGCCCTTGCTGCTGTCCTTCTTCTGTATAATTCCTCTTCCATTTCGTTCTCCATGCCTGTTGAACGTCCAAAGTACACGTACGAGTTGGTCTTTGTAATCAGAGAGGCACTCAGTGCGATTTGTTCTCCTTCGCACCATAGGTCCTTCATGAATTAGATTCTCGTCAACTCGGATGGTGGAACATTATCGTCGCAGATACTCCACGGCACTTCTTCAGACTGGATTGTCTTTGTGCCGCTTCCAATAACTTTTTCTGCCTACAACGATGTAAATTCTACAAAGATCTTCTACAGCTAGCACTTATAATCAGCCATGTTAAGTCTATTGCAGTAGAATCAAGGTTCAGTGGCATTCCCCTTTCAGCAACTCCTTAGTGGTAATGGAATGGATGGTCTGAACTTCTTCTTTGAGGAAATGAGGCCAGTTTGCAACGAGTTTTAAGTCCTTAGACAAAAAGCTTGTAGTCCTTGGTCGGGTGTTCCTCCATCTGGCAGTCATATGAAAACAGGTTATTGTTGAAAATACCCTCGCTGTACACGACTTGTTTTGCTTTTTCTTGAACAATGACAGTTCTTTGCCACACTATGGCTGAATCCAGTCTTCGCGCACAGAAGGCAGCGATAAGATCCTGTTCAGAATACAGGTAGTACTGTGGCATCAACAGAGGTACAATTGTCTGTTTGTAATATTATGGTCGATATCCGCATGAGTCGTGCCGTTAGAAGACTCCCGTGTCCATCGGCGATTTTCTATCTTCTCAAAAAATGAATTCCCATAGAAAAAATGTGCTGTGGACACGAGTTCTACAAGACGTTTTCAATTCCCATTACTTACTTACCTGATACTTGAACGGACCGTCCTCACTAGTTGTGCGGGCCCCAGCATAATCACCATTTTTCGGAGATTTGCTGGTTAAGCCATCGTGGCTCCCTGGAATCCCAAGGAAAGAATGGCCAAAGTCTGCCCCAGGTTGTCATCATGACAGGCATCCCTTGTGGATCAGAGAAAGATTTGCCACCATGCGACTTTGATACCAGGACGGTGGTGGATCCTGATATTGGTTTAGTCTTAGCTAGGTTTCCTGATAAAAACGCTGGACTCCTTCTCAGCTTGGGAGACCCTGCCGGGGGAACGAATCCCCCGCTGTACATCGCAGCCCGACATTCAAGAACACCTCCCAGCCATGATGAGGCGGTAAACCGTTGGTAGGTCAATTCCCATTTCGTTCTACTATTCCGAATTTCCTTATCCTATATTCATTCTTGTTGGTCATTTCTAATCTAGGGCAGTGAGGTTTCCATCAACGAATTCGTAGATGTTTTCGTTGCGGACTACTCCAGACAGTTAGTTGTAAAACGCGTCCAGTTTGCTCTCATCCGCAATGCAAGTTGGCGACTAACAGCTAATGAACTGGCTTTCTTCCGACGTGCAAGTTGCAGACGAAGAAAGACTAAGCCTTGTGATAGGATGTTGCATGAGCTGATTTGATGGGAAATAGATGATGTGGGCAAAGCCAAATCCTCCGACATTTCTTGAAGGAAATTCCCCCTCATGACCAAGAAGGATTGCGTCATCTAACTGATGTACGTCGGCAATCTTGCTTTTCGTCTCTTGTAGACCGATCATATGGTATTTGTTGCGATCAGCACCATCAACACGAGCGTGAAGTTTTGCTTATGAGTGGACTGTTATGGTGCTATGGGTGCAGATCAAGAAACAGCCTCCATGGCGTATCGTGGGCGTGCTTGTTTTGTCCATTTCTGGTAATGTCCTGCGACCCGAGATTGGATCGCTTCTCGCCGGTCGTCTCACCGTTGGGCGGTGTAGACGGGAGCACCCAGTGTCCGGCGTCCTGATGTGGGAATTTCGCCGGTTTAGCTATTGTCGTTCCATGGAGCTCAGATGTCAGCTTAGTCGAAGTCTTTCCTAGGTTGTCACCACTCCAAGCAGTGCTGCCCTTGTCGATCAGATGCAGATATGCCACTATGAGACTAGTTTGACACCAGGAAGGTGGTCATTACTGGTATTGGTTTACTCTTAGCTGGGGTTCGGGACCGACACATCAGACTCCTTTTCGGCTTGGGAGACCCTGTTGCGAGGATGAATCCCCAGCTCTACATCGTAGTTGGCACTCAGGAACACCTCCTAGCCACGGTGGGGTATCAGTGTTAATGCCAGGGAAAAACGAATAGAGTTAGAGCTCACTGGTTAGTGATCACAGTTGTTCATTTTCGTTTGACTATTGCCTCTTGCGATCTAAAAAACCACAAGAATATTTCGATTAAAAAACGGTGAAGAAAACTCATATAGAGTTGCCTTCCTTTCTCGTTTTATAGGTGATTACGTTCTTAACGGATTTTTTTATACCTGGCTTTAGTATATTGAGATTGGATTACCGAATATATTTGGAGTCACTCACGGAAAAAACTTGAGAATAAGAATGAATAGCTTGTTTCAACATAAAAATAACAACATGCGTGGGTGGGCACAACAGGCCGTATGCGTCCACCCCAATGCGTACTCTTTCCCATTATTTGTTCTGCTACAAGAAGGTTTATTTGCTGTAGCTTTTATATACAGTCGATAGCTTGTCGAATCCAGAGAGGACGTACATAGAAGGCCATCTGCCATACTGGATAATTTTGAAAAAAAACTTCGGCCGTACGAGCTTTCCAATCCACAAAGCGACTGGAGAAAAGCTAAGAGTAGTCCTACTGGGCTACCATACAAAATTCGAGAAAGACTGTAGCTAACCCACCGGCTTTTCCAGGATTCTCACGCTATGTGGATGACATCGTTCGAATGAATCACAACAACTTCCAACACATTGCATCACCTAAGAGAAGTCTTATTAATTTCCAAACAATCAGAAAAAATTCCAAGATTTAACGAATCATTGATGTACAGCTGCGAAAATATCTTCTGTTTCTGTAGGATTTGATATTTACGTTCATTGAAGAAATTATAATAAAAACATTTCAAAAGATCAAATCAGATGAATCCCGTTGACGGATGATTGCTGATAGCACCTATAGGTCAATAACACGGCTCAGAGAAGGGCGAAGCGAAGAACTAGCATGGTATGGTGGTGAACACGTTAGCCTCTGGAAAGGATAACAGAGTGTTCGGTCCCCACAGCAGACACCGGCAGCCGAGAGTTTTGCAAATATCTCAGCATCATTATGGTTATATTTCACAGAACACTCTGCCATTTAAAGAAATAGTAGGCAGTAAATAAAAATTGATAACATTTCAAAAAATATTGGTGAAAACGAGAACAAGCAGAATTTCTAGCCAGACTTCAATACTTTCCAGTGATCCTAAGGAGTTTAGTGATTTCCATTCGAATAGTGATAAAGACCCATCATCATCACTACAATAACATTTGCCCTATCTCTAAAAAGAAAACAGTATCAGGGAAGATGAAGAAATATGGAAAAATCTGAGAAACTTTCCTTCCTCAATAGTTTCGAACTTTCGTAGAAGCATTTTCGACAACATTTATAAAATACTCAAAGGAAACTAGTTAGTAGCGATTAAAACAAGTAGAAAAGAACATGAAACCCGACCTCATAACATTTCGGATAGATAACCACTTGAGGATCGCCATTGTCAAATGGAATCGGAACGCACACCGATTGCAGCTGGCAGGTGTCGTTGCCCTGTTTGATCGAGCCGAACAGACTCAAGTGCTCAGCGGTATGCACTAAAATTTCAACAGGAAGTCCTACAGTCCTTCTTTTTATCTTCTAGCCGGACTGCTTTTCTTCAGTATCTACTAAAACCTGTTTGGTGAATACTGTAATTGGAATCCGTCGCATAGATTAGAACATGAAGTGAATCCCTCAGAGAAAGAACTGAACAACCTACACTACTCAACGGAACACGCTAAAACAGAGCTGGAAAACCTAGGATTTCAAAGAAATAGCTGGTTGCGGTACGACTGGATACGGTATTAAGGAAGTCGCAGGAAACGCAGGATGTCTAAAGTCTGAAGTACACATGTTTATTAAGTTGAGAAGAGTGTACAAGACTGACTACTAGACTAATTACTAACTAAAACACCCATTCTATAAATCAAATACTCGTCAATTCTTTTCTATCATAAATCGAGAAGTGATTCTTCCATTGTGTAACAAGCCAGTAATTTTGCGGAACATTTTGGTTTTCTTCCAATCGATTGCTAAATGAACTGACAGAACGAAAAAGACGAAAAATCAAAGAATTGAACGAATAGGTGGGAAGCAAGGGAGAGAAGGGAAAAAGAAAAGAAATAAGCACACAAAAAAGAGAAGAGAAAAACAAAGTGAAAACGGAAGAATGAGTGAGAGGATGAAGTAAGAAGGAGAACCAAGAATTCGAAAAAGAAAGAAAAGGTAGTAAAGAAGAAGGGAAGAAGAAAGAAGGAGAGTCAGGGAGAAAAAGAAGGATGGAAGAGAAGACTCCACAATACGAAAGCTGAATAAAATGTCAGTTGCTGAAAATTACTAACGTCGATCAATTGCTGTGAAGTTCACCAATTTCCTAGATAACTTTTAGGGTTTACGAATCACTTTTCTGACAACAGTGATAATAACGGATTAGTCAATGGCCGAATTGTCACTAGTAGTCGAAAAGACTTTTCTTCCTACAAAAATTCGTGGACACTTTCCTGTAGTGCTCGCGTCTTTCCAAAACGACCCTTAACACAATAATACGTCCAGTTTTCTGGGTCAACTGGTGTGTTGTAGTAATGCAAGATAAGAGCTCATGGGAATTATTATGCAGAATATTTCTGAGGAGTAATTACTTTTCCGGTTAAGAGTGTCTTTCTTCCGTTGACGCTCCGTGAGAACATGAATGACTCCATTACTTGATACTTGATACTTAAACGGTCCGTCCTCACTGGTTGTGCGGACCCCAGCATAATCACCATTTTTCGGAGATTTCCTGGTTAAGCCATTGTGATTCTCTGGAATCCCGAGGTCAGCCTGGCTAAAGTCTGCTCCAGGTCTTCATCAGCACAGGCAGTCGCAACCCGTGTGGATTAGAGGGAGATTTACCACCATGCGACTTTGATACCAGGACGGTGTTGGATCCTGGTATTGGTTAACTCTTAGCTAGGCTTCCTGATGGAAACGCCGGACTCCTTCTCAGCTTGGGAGACCCTGCGAGGGAATGAATCCCCTGCCGTACATCGCAGACCGACACCCAGGAACACCCCCCAGCCACGATAAGGTGGTAAACCGCTGGGAGGGAATGACTCCGTTAGGCGTCGTAGATGTGATTCAGTCATATTTGGCCTACACGATGACTAGTTGGACACAAGTTCTCTCCAATTCAGACGGATGGAGGATCGCATCCAGAAGAGATTTCGAACCAAGATCACGTGTCTCTTGCCGGGCAACACTAACCATTCGCTACATGTGCAGTTAATATATTACAATGAATATTAAAATTCGCACGAAACTATAGTTCATTAGCCAAAACCATCGTGGTCACTGTCTTGAAGTTGCGATACGGAAAAGATGAAAGCTAAAAACCTACAGTCCATAGCATTTTTATCGGTGGTGGACACCTGAGCCGCCATAGTTTGAAGCCGCGACGAAGAGCTTCTGAGGACATTCGCCGCTTTGATCCTTATCGGTTGATGAGCTAAATAATTAACTGCGTTAAATCGCTCCATATTCTATTTTACTATATTTTCTAGTGAATTTGGGTATTCTTATGATACTAAAACACCAAGAAACTGATTAGAGAGAAACTTCAAATAAGCTCGAGGAATCAGAAGCGGCAGAAGTGCTTGGTGGCTATAGAAGGTGGCTTGGCATTTTTACTACCTCTTACATTGCTTCTGATTCTTCAAATCGTCGTAGACACTGCACCAACATTTCGAAATAAGAGTTTTTACACAGGATTAAGAAAGTTTCGCACTGAAGTTCACGGATTTTCAAATGTTTAAGAGAATTCATAAGGATAAAGTTAGGCCAGAGATGTTGGCATGCAATAACCGAAATCACCTTTAGTAAGTGTCGTGACTGGGAATGCCCTTAACTAATAGTAACTGCTTAACTGTATCGCTATATACTTTAGGGTAGCAGGGATCTATCGGAATTGCGGTCGTGATTTAATCAGTTGAACGCTTACCGGATCACACAAGCGTGTCACCCCTATCAGATTTTTCTGTACAGTAATAGAGGATAAAGGATAAAGGATAAAGCATTCGGTCTTGAGTCCTATATCAGGGATGCGCTATGTATTGGCTGTGTTTGTAGCACCGTGAAGATGGTTGAGTGCATGCTTGACCTACACAATGACTTGCGGTGGCCTACAGATCGATGAAGTTAGTGCTGGTATTCTCCCAGACAAGTGTGATACCAATCTGCCGACCGCAAAGTGGATTGAGTCTTTGCTTAGCATGAAGGAACCGAAGACAAAGTGTGCTGTGCACCGCAGCCCTACCCACTATGCTCCCACACCCTCCTACAATAATATTGTAATCCCATGGCAATTCCACAATTTAGAAATTCAATTCGTCCATTCTCAAATAACTGGCTAAACATTTGAAAGACAAAAAGAACAATGTTTTCTGATAAACACTCTTTTTCACGAGAACGCACTGAGAGTGCATAAAAAGAAATTTCAAACTTCTTAAGTCTTAGGTCCACCGTTTACTCCTTAACCACTTTCTCTGCACTATTATTGATTTAATAAATTGAATTAAAGTCCTGCGGATAGAGTAACGGGAAATAGTGCTGCGCCGTTAATCGGGAGCTGATAGCGCAGTGGTAGTGATGTGCATCAACACAAGCATAGTGTTAGTTCGACTCCACTCCAGACCAACCAAGCCCTTCATTCCATCGGGGTCGGGAGATTAATACCGGACCTGTCTGAGAAAAAAAATCACCCTCTGCAATCCAATTGGGAATGCTCCAGCCCGGCTATCTCAGGACTCCAGGGAGAATTGGTCGACCAGCATTCTACGACATTCAAAATGAAATGGAAATCCTCAAGCAGCAACCGAAGCCACACGCAAAAGTTCGAAGCTCTTCGTGGGACAATGGATGCGAGAAAACGAATTGAATGTGATATCCGCATGTGATAATGTGATATAGTGCTGGGATCCGCACAGCAAACGTGAAAACAGATCAAATAAAATTAAACAAATAAATAAAAAATTAATGATTCTATAATTAGAACTTCCAGGCCAGCATGATCACTTCCCAAGTGCAAGCCCTGCAGTGTTTACGTGATGACGTGAAAGACAGAGCAGCAAGAGACAGAAACGATTAATGGCGGCTCTGAAGGTCAGATGGATGAGTCACTCCGGTGAACTCGTACATTTCCCGCACTTCGTGTTGGCATTTCCGCAATGAGTTCTCGGAAAAGAAGGCCTCCATACGAAGATAAAAACGCTCACGTCCTTCAGTAACGTAAGCCTTCTGGATGTGTTTGTTCGTTAAGAGCGGATGATAGAGGATCTCGACATTTTCCGCGATTTCCTAGAAAACGAAAAATGATCAGTGAAAAAGAAAATGGTAAAATGAATGAATAAACAAATGAATGAATGTCTAGCGACATTTTGTCCACTGGCTTTTTAACTCGTACGACATTATTCTGTATCTTTCATTCATTCGATTTCAGTCGACGCATTTGGAAGAGAGTCGAAATCTTCACAAAGTCTACGTCAAATGAACTGAACTGCTAAAAGAAGTGTACCCAAAATGGGACAAAATGTCTCCTTTGTAATTCTTAACACCACAAATTTATTTCCTTATTAAATAACTAATAAAAAAAGACGTACTTCCACTTTTTATCCTTCCATGCATTCTAAGGTCACGGTAGGGCGGAAAAAGCGGCCCGAATGGTAACGATATGTTTATTTTTAGGTATACGGCACATTTAATATACAATCTTTCGACTATCACCTTTAAAAGAAGCAGCGTCTTCCTAATTTTGGGACGAGTTTTCGTGCACTGAGTCAGAACTCGTTATGGGAATTGGATGTCAAAATGTGGTTTCATGGAGTTCTAGGTATTTGTTACTAGCGTTTTTATCTAAAAAAAATGGTCAGAAGAATCGAAACCTGGTGAAAAAGCTGATTTTTTCGAACACATGCCTTTAATGGTCGAATGATATAAAAGGATAAAAGGTAAAGCTCTCGACGTTGATCAATCCCTGAGGGATGCGCCATGCATTCGACTTCATTAAGTTTCGCTGGAGGTGATTAAATGCACATCTGGCCTTTACAATGACTCGCGGTGGCCTACCGATGTATCGAGCCAGTGCTGCTATTCTCCCAGACAAGTCTGGCATCAATTTGCCGATTCCGGAGGGATGGAAGGCTTGGTGAGCCATGGGTGCAGGGATCGATTCCACGTGTGTATCGCAGTGGTGCCTCCAACCACTACGCCACACGCACCCTTTGAATGATATAAGTCATTTTATTTTCTCCATGACAAATAAAGTAGTTTCGAGAAAGATATATCCTAAGTATAAATCGTCTAATGAGGTTTTCTAACACATTTTGGTAGGAATACGCAAGCAGATAAAGATAGAGATAGAGATAAAAGACATTTAAAAACAAAGCTTATTAGACTTTTATAGGAATCTCGACAAGAAAAGAGGTTCCGACTGGATATTAACTGACTCATTTCCAACTATTATGACTTTTTTCCTGAAAGGAAGGGAATAAGGAAAGCGGAGTCACCAAAAAACTCGTGGCTTTGTTGAGCTTATCCCTTAGGCCCTTTGGGATCGCTTCGGTTCGCACGTGATGTGTCAGTGTGACGAGCAACAAGAACAACATCGAACGCATTCCTCTTGCTGGAAATAAGTGGTTCTAAGAAGTCCCAACACGGCAGAAAGTCAATAAGTGGTTCAAAAAAGACCACGAATAT